CGCCGCCGCTGGTGCCGAAAAAAGCTTGGGGATGAGAAAGAACCACCAGGTCCAAGGTCCGCGTCCAACCGCGCCAATGATGTCCGGGGTGGCCACCGCTCCGGCAAAGGCACACCGCCCTTCCCGCGCACCTACCGGAGGCAAACGGGCTCGAAAGCTGACGGCAGCGGCGGCAGCGCTCGCTGAGGTGGTCGTCAAGAAGATGAAGAAGACCGCACGGGCGCCTCGTCCAAAGCCTACGGCTCATGCGGCACTCCGGCTGGCCCTACAGCGACTGCTCCGGCGCGTGCGGCGGCTGCAACCGGCAACAAAAAATGCGGCCGCCAAGTGCTCGATGAAATGCCAACAAGGTAAAAATAAAACCTCGTGTCCCGTTGGTATTCGATAGTGATTGTTCGTGATCACTAGTGATTGTTTATAGTGCTTACTTTGACATTGTAAAGCGGAGGTGAACAAGGCCGAATTCCACGCATCGTTGGAGTCCTCGGCCACCGTTGACCTTGGTGCATGATCTCAACTATGACTCATTTTGGGATCATTCGGCCACACAACACACGGAGGAGGCCAAGGAAGAGGTCCAAGAGGTGGTGGTGGGAGCTCACTCGTGGAGAAATCTTGGCCTCTCTTCGAAATGTTGGTGGTGACCGAGGGGGGTGGTGGTGATGGTGGCCGAGGGGGTGGTCACGGTGGTGGTGGTGATGGTGGCCGGGAGGATGTCGAGGTTGATTTCTTTGGAGAGGACGTCATTTGAGTGGTGGTGGCTGGAAGGGTGGTGGTGATTTTGAATCCAACATTGTGTTTGTAGTGATGCATTTTCGGTGAACTTCGCATGTTTAAATTAAAAAAACATTATGATGAAACTTTATGTTATGACGATTATTGCTATTCATTCTTTAATTTGAATGGTTTTAAGATATGTATTGTATAGAGATTGTATTTATGCGGCTAGTATGCAAACGGCCATAAATTTGATTTTACTCTGCTAATTATAGCGGATCGGCTAGGTGCGGCCACCGTTAGTGGAGTAAATTTTTACTCCACTAACTTTACTCAAATTTTTACTTCACCAACTTTTAGGGTTCGGTTAGAAATGCCCCTGCTGATGTACTGCGAGTGTCTCCGGCCGGGTCCTGTACTCCTGTACTCGATCCTTTTGTGGTTTCTGCCAGGGCGGTCCGTGGCGACTGCCGACGTCGGTGAGGCGCTACTTTTGAACCGTTAGCCAGCCAGCATGTGCCCGGCGCCGGTGCTGCCGGCCGGCCTAGCCAGCATATCTTCTAGCCCTGTACTTTCGGTACGACAAGCCTAGCTACGTCCTTGCGTAGCCGCTGCATGGCTTTACCGGCATGTCTCGCTCTCGCGGTCCCACGGCAACAACAAAAAGATACAGCGGCAACAAAGCTACACGCCCTTGCTTGCTTCCTTGCTTCACCCGCACTCCATGGACGGATCGTGGATCTTTCATCTTTCCAATCCACAATTTTCAACGATCCGTCAACTTTGGAAAAGCAAAATGCACCTGGCTAGCTGGCTCTCGGCTCCTCACTTGGCTTCATCACTTGCGCTGGTAAGATGCGATCGACACGGGCGATGTGGCGCCACTGTGCTGCCTGGCCTCAACTTTCATTTCAAAAGCATGCATGATTCGATCGAGATCTCCAGGAAAGAAAATCCACGGCACAGCCTAGCTAGTATCTATGCTCGTTGCTTTCGACTGGATCTATGGATAGGCGGAGCTAGCAACCGTAGCGACCGACCCAGCAATGTTTTTTTTTTAAACGGAGGCAAAAGCTTTGCCTCATCTTATTAATAAAGAAGAAGGGTAACAGAAGTTCATGGCGAGGTCATTACTCTTCAACAAATGAGACAAAAGCCTACTTTCGCGGCATAATAGACCCCAGGTGCCGAGCACCGGCGGTCACCCACAACTTAGCCTCGCTCCTAACATGCGCGAAGACGATGGAAGGCAGTGTAGACTTCTTGCGAAAAACCCGTGCATTCCTCTCGTTCCACAGTGCCCACGCCACAAACATGAGTGTGCTGGCAATAGCTTTCTTCCTGTGACCATGAGTAAGCACCACGGCATACCACCAATTATGCACCGAAGGCAGGCCACCCCA